GGGTGAAGGCTACAGGGATGGAGCTCAGGACGTACCATTGCCATTAACTGCTTCTAACTTATTAAAACCCTGAATCCTTTGACTTCTTCTTCTCCCTCTCCTTCCTCTTCTCCTCCTCCTCCTCTTTCTTTTCTAAAGAAGCCTTTGAATTCCACTCTATATGTAGACTTTACAGAGTTCAGGATGAGTAGGACACCTCCAAACCCTTGGAGAATATAAATAGCATTTGAGTTGCTATTTTGGGGATTTAAAAATGATCTCATGAGGCTTGATTAAATAGATATTCCAACCATATGCAATTTTTAATTAATTTATTTTTAATTAACATATAATGTATTATTTGCTTCAGGGGTACAGGTGATTCAACAGTCTTGCACAATTCACAGCACTCACCATAGCACATACCCTCCCCAATGTCCATCACCCAGCCACCCCAGCCCTCCCACCCCCCTCCACTCCAGCAACCCTGTTTGTTTTCCTGAGATTAAGTCTCTTATGATTTGTCTCCCGCTTTGGTTTCATCTTGTTTCATTTTTTTCCTCTCTTCCCCTATGAAACTCTGCCTTGTTTCTTAAATTCTGCATATCCATATGTACTTAATACAAGCAGCAACTGGTTTGCTTTACCAAGATCACTGACAATTATCAGAAACTCTACTGCTACTTAAAGACCCTGAGGTAGGTCTATGCTGACATAAAACTATCAGAAATGTACAGACTCAAAAACACAGGGAAGTGATAGCTTCTAAATTTGCTATTTTATCTCCAGGTGTGGGTAGTTTACCCGACTTAGCAAATGGCATAGGGAGGAATTCTCTCATTATCCATCAGGACATGTTTATGATAGATTTCTAGAAGAGCGAATAAGTTCCCATCATTTCTACTATTTGGGTGACCATACCAACCCAAGTGGGACTAAGTGTGATCAGACCAAGTCTACCTTCCAACTGGCATTTTAATTTTTTTTACTGAAACATGTTACATTTGTCCTCATGTCAGGCTTAGCATCCTAGTAAAACTTTAATGGTGTGTAGGAAGGCTTTAAATTATGCTTCATCTCAACGTTTAGGTCCAAGCCAGGAGATATTCCTCACTGCAAAATTCTCCTTTCTAGATTGAGTAAGAAGGAACAATTTTAGAAGTAAAACAAAGATAGTTTGACCACATTTTTATATATGAAGTGCAATTCTTGAAAAAAATGATAATTTTACTTCTCACTTTTTGTTTAGGTCCAACATGATCTGCTCAAAGAAGGATTTAGCAAGAAATCTGAAGAGATGAATGAAGAGATAAAGCAGTTGAAATATAGGATTGATGCTACTAAAAATAATAATACTCCCTGGTTTGCACAAGTCTTGGAGAGATTTAGCAGTGAAATTGTTTCAATATTTACTTCTCCTGTTAGAGTACTTGATAATATTATACGCGGTGTGAGCTCACTATTTAAGAATTAGCAGCTCTCCTTTTAAAGAAATTAAAGAATGTGGCTATATACTCTGGCCTATTTTTGGTATATATGCTTTTCACTTTTATCCAGAAAAGTTTTAAATATAAAAAGTGCCTACAAGAGGATAGCAATGCCTGGCCTACATTAGATAGAATAAATGCATGTACACTTTGATAGAGCATGTTAACTTTTAGGAAATATACTCGTGCAAAATGATAAATATATATAAAATCCACTGAGGTTTTACCTTAAGTGACAAAAGATTGCTTAATTAGATTACTGAACTATCTGTATCTATATATTGGTAATATAAATTGAACATGTGCCAGTATGAACACTGGAATACTATGTAGCCGGTAAATAAATTGACAGTGGAGCTGTATTTGTAAAAACATAGGAAATCTTGAAAATATAAAGAAATAAGGAATAAAACAGTGTGTATAATGTATTCACTATAAAAAATTATTATGTGCAATTATACCTATCTATGTACACATAAAATATCTCTGGAAAGTCTGTTAGAAACTAGTATCACTGGTTCCTTCTGAGAAGGACTGAATGGCATCAGGGGTGGAAGGGACACATGCTCTTCATTATATACTCTTATCTTTTGACTTTTATAAAGAAACCTTGAATAGCCATTTTATAAATAAGTAACAGAAAATATAGAGTATAATACTAATAATGATAATCATAAAAAGAATGTGAAATTGGCTATGAGATAATAAAATTCCTCACTATTTCTAGAAATGACATCAGCCTGCTCAATAAGGTGGCCTAAAACTAAGATCAGAGTACCAGGATGCATAAAATTCACATCTTAATCTTGTTTTCATTTTGGCCTTGGTTTTTAATCCCTTATAATTACTTCAAAACTAAGTTACAAACTTTCATGTTGCCCTTTTAAATAAGCTCAGCTAGAGTAGCCTCTACTTCCTATATTTGAATTACACTTTTTAAGGTGTTAGAAGCAAATATAATTTATAATATTTATAGTATATAAATATATATGAATAAATTATATTAATATACTGTATCAATCACAGAATCAGTATAATTATAATTATGCAATTATAATATATTATTATATTAATAATTATATTAATATATATTACATTACATGTATAATAAAATATTATTCAGCCATAGAAAAGAATGAAATCTCGCCATTTGCAATGACATAGATGGAGCTAGAGAGTATAATGTTAAGTGAAATAAGTCAGAGAAAGACAAATATCATATGATTTCACTCATATGCGGAACTGAAGAAACAAAACAAATGAGCAAAGGGAAAAAGAGAGAGACAAACCAAGAAACAGACTCTTAACTCTAGAAAACAAACTGATGGTTACCAGAGGGGAGGTCAGTGGAGGTTTGGGTGAAATAGGCTATGGGGATTAAGGAGTGCACTTGTGATGATGAGCACTGGGTGATTAAAATACAAACTTAGGGATCCCTGGGTGGCTCACAGTCGGTTAAGTGGCTGCCTTCAGCTCAGGTCATGATCCCAGGGTCCTGGAATTGAGCCCTGCATCAGACTCCTTGCTCAGTGGGGAGCCTGCTTCTCCCTCTGCCTGCCGCTCCCCCTGTTTGTGCTCTCTCTCCCTCTCTCTCTCTGACACATAAATAAAATCTTTAAAATAATATAAAATAAAAACTTTAAAAATGAAAATAAAAATAAAACTTACCAAAATTTGTGAAAAGCAGTGCAAGTTGTTGAAGGAGACTTGTAAGATTTTGATATGTAATTGGACAGATTATGAACTAAATTTTGGGAGAGGAACTAAGGAGACACTAAGCAGCTGGGTGTTTTTAAAATTCATCTAACTGGGGAAAATATCCACTGTTTGCAATTAGTTTTCTGAGCCTCAGATAGTTGCCTCTGGGATCCCTCAAGAGCCCCTAATGGAGGGAAGGGACCTAAAGGTTGAGTGACTATAGAGAGTTGAGTGGCTGGAGTGGGAAGGGAAAAGTCTAACAAGGGTGGACTGGAGGATGGAGTATGTAGGAGCTTTTGAAGAGTGAAATATTAATAGATTTCAGGTCTTTAACAGGCAAAATGGAAGTGTTGCATGGTCAAGAAATAGGAAACAGAAGTCCCTTATTTAGTAATTCCTGAATTATTGGCCAGGTCTCCTTCTCTTATAAATTATATTGGAGAATCCTGGGGAGTGACATGAATGGATCTATCTCTACCTATTATGGTGTTCTATCATGGGTTCCATACCCCATGAATGCCTGATATCAGAATTCCTTGCCCACAAAAAGGAGAAATCCTGCCCACTAGTTGGTTTAAATCTTCAGTAAGATGGGTACTAAGGGAGTCAGACAAAGACATTAAGGGACACAGGTGTGAGCGAGATGAATATGGGGACTTGTGAAGGGAGTCCTTCAAGGTCACAATGAATTCAATATCCCATTTCATGAAACTGTTGGGATAGTTAGGCTAAGAAGGAAATTGTGTTGAGCCCTAAGAGATCTTAAAAAGTTACTGAGGGACTAGAAGGCAAATTATGAGGAAAGTTTTTTTTTAATTTAAAACTTAATATACCGTGTAATATTGGTTTCTGGAGAATTCAATGATTCATCACTTACAAACAATACCCAGTGCTCATCCCAAAAAGTGCCCTTCACCCATTTATCCAATCCCCCCACCTTTCTCCCTCCATCAACCCTCATTTTTTTCTCTATCATTAAGAGTCTCTTATAGTTTATTTCCCTCTCTCCCTTCCCTGCCCCTTCCCCTCTGTTCATCTGTTTTCTTTCTAAAATTCCACATATGAGTGCGATCATATGGTATTTGTCTTCCTCTGATTGACTTATTTCACTTAGCATAATACACTCTAGCTCCATCCATGATGTTGTAAATGGAAAGATTTCATTCTTTTTGATGGGTAATATTCCATTGTGTGCGTGTGTGTGTGTGTGTGTGTGTGTGTGTGTATCCCCCACATCTTCTTTATCCATTCATCAGTCAATTGGCATTGGGCTTTAACCATAGTTTGGCTATTGCTGACAATGTTGCTATAAAAATCACAGTGCATGCATCCCTTCAAATCTGTATTTTTGTATCCTTTGGGTAAATACCCAGTTTTGCATATGCTGGGTTGTAGGGTAGTACTATTTTTAACTTTTTGAGGAACCTCCACACTGTTCACCAGAGTGACTGTACCAGTTTGCATTCCCACCAGCAGTGCAAGAGGGTTCCCCTTTCTCTGTATCCTCACCAACACCCGTTGTTTCTTGTGTTGTTAATTTTAGCCAACCTGACAGATGTGTGATGGTATCTCATCACGGTTTTGATTTGTATTTCCCTGATGGTGAGTGATGTTGAGCATCTTTTCATGTGTCCATTAGCCATCTGGATTTCTTCTTTGGACAGACATGTCTTCTGCCTATTTTTATAACTGGTTTATTTGTTTTTTGGGTGTTGAGTTTGATAAACTCTTTATAGATTTTGGATACTAACCCTTTATCCGATACATCGTTTGCAAATATGTCCTCCCATTGTGTGGGTTGCCTTTTAGTTTTGTTGGTTGTTTCCTTCACTATACAGAAGGTTTTTATCTCAATGAAGTCCCAATAGTTCATTTTTGCTTTTGTTTCCCTTTCTTCTGGTGATGTGTCTAGTAAGAAGTTGCTACAGCTGACGGCAAAGAGGTTTCTGCCTGTGTTCTCCCCTAGGATTTTGATGGTTTCTGTGTCACATTTAGGTCTTTCATCCATTTTGAATTATTTTTGTGTATGGTGTAAGAAAGTGGTCCAGTTCCATTCTTTTGCATGTTGCCGTCCAGTTTTCCCAACATCATTTGTTGAAGAGACTATTTTTTTCGCCCATTGGATAGTCTTTCCTGATTGTTGAAGATTAGTTGACCATATAGTTGTGGGTCCATTTCTAGGTTCTCTATTCTGTTCCATTGATCTATGTGTCTATTTTTGTGCCAGTACCATACTGTCTTGATGACTACAGCTTTGTAATATAGCTTGAAATCTGAAATTGTGATGTCTCCAGTTTTGTTTTACTTTTTCAGAATTGCTTTGACTATTCAGGGTCTTTTGTGGTTCCTTACAAATTTTAGGATTATTTGTTCTAGCTCTGTGAAAAATGCTGGTGGTATTTTGATAGGGATTGCATTAAATGTGTAGATTGCTTTGGCTAGTATAGACATTTTAATGATATTTGTTATTCCAATCCATGAGCATGGAATGCTTTTCCATTTCTTTGTGTCCTCTTCAATCTCTTTCATAGGTGTTCTATAGTTTTCAGAATATAGATTTTTTACCTCCTTTAAAAAAATTTTTTTTTCATCTTTTACCTCTTTAGTTAGGTTTATTCCTAGGTACCTTTTTGTTTTGGTGAAATGTCAAATGGGATGGATTCCTTGATTTCTTCTGCTGCTGCTTCTTTATTGGTGTATAGAAATGCAATAGATTTCTGCACATTTATGTTATATCCTGCAACTTTTCTGAATTCATGTATGACTTCTAGCAATTTTTTGGTGCAGTCCTTTGGGTTTTCCACATAGAGTATCATATTGTCTGCAATCAGTGAAAGTTCGACTTCTTCCTTGCTGATTTGGATGCCTTTTATTTCTTTGTGTTGTCTGATTGCTGAGGCTAAGACTTCCAGGACTATGTTAAATAGTAATGGTGAGAGTGGACATCCTTGTCTTGTTCCCCAAACCATAGGGGAAAGGCTCTCAGTTTTTTCCCACTGAGGATAATATTAGCTGTGGGTCTTTCATATATGGTCTTTATGATGTTGAGATATGTTCCACCTATCCGTAGTTTGTTGAGGTTTTTATCAAGAAAGTTGCTGTATTTTGTCAAATGCTGTTTCTGCATCTATTGAGAGGATCACTATTCTTATCCTTTCTTTTATTAATGTGGTATATCATGTTGATTAATTTATGGATGTTGAACCATGCCTGCAATCCAAGAATAAATCCCCCTTAGTCATGGTGAATAATTCTTTTAACGTACTGTTGGATCCAATTAGCTAGTATCTTGTTCAGACTTTTTGCATCCATGTTCATCAGGGATATTGGCCTGTAATTCTCCTTTTTATTGGGGTCTTTGTCTGGTTTTAGGATCAAGGTGACGCTGGTCTCATAGAATGAGTTAGATTCCCTTCCATTTCTACTTTTTGGAACAGCTTCAGAAGAATAGGCATTAATTCTTCTTCAAATGTCTGGTGAATTCCCATGGGAAGCCATCCAGCCGTGGACTTTTTTTTTTTTTTTGGAAATTTTTGAGTACTGTTCAAACTTTCTATTTCTTCCTGTTTCAGTTTTGGTATATTATATGTTTCTAGGAATTTATCCATTTCTTCCAGATCACATAATTTGTTGGCATATATTTACTCATTGTTTTATAATTTTTTATATTTCTGCAGTGTTAATTGTGATTTCTCCTCTTTCATTCATGATTTTATTTATTTGAGTCCTTTCTCTCTCTTTTTTTTTCTTGATAAGTCTGGCTAGGGGTTTATCAATTTTGTTAATTCTGTCAAAGAACCAGCTCCTTTTCTCGTTGATCTGTTCCCCCGTTTTTTTTTTCCTATACCATTGATTTCTGCCCTAATCTTTATTATTTTCCTTCTCCTGCTGGATTTAGGCTTTATTTGTTGTTCTTTTTCCAGCTGCTTTAGGTGTAATGTTAGGTTGTGTACTTGAGACTTTTCTTGCTTCTTGAGGTAGGCCGTATTGCAATATACCTCCCTCTTAGGACTGCCTTTGCTGCATCCCAAACAT